GAGCCACCCGCCCGGGATCGACGTCGCGCCGTCGTAGAACTGCACGTCGCGAAAATATCAGTTTCATACATACTACAGGTTGGGGCGATAGAGAGGGAAACGCACCGCAACGCGGCTCTGTGCGAACAGACCCGTCAACAAGTTGCCCACAATCCCGCCGACGGCGTGCGAGGCGAAAATCTACACCAGCGAAAAATAAAGATCAGCATCTCAGCGTCCGAAATGGTCAAGTCCAGGAAAGGAACAAAAAAGGCGCGGAGAAACGATGGATCAATGGACTATCGAATATGCGCGGAGAAACGATTTCGCGGCGAGGAGGCGAGGGCGGGCTGTCGGCCGCATGTTATCGCCGTGCGAGCCGGCGTATCGCGAAAACCCACGTCCGCATGGCCTATCCTCGGCGCCATGCGGGTGTGCGAACGGACGCAAGGTGCAGTCAGGAGGCGAGCGGGCGCCGGGCTGCGCCTGGACAGGAGCTCCAGGCCGGATGAAAACGGGAGAGGCCGAAGTGCAGCGCGCCAAAGTCGCGTAAAAGCGGCGTCAAGGGCGCGTACACACCAGCTGCGACCGCGACGAGAGGGTGTCCAGCGCCCGCCCCTCCCGTGCAGATCGTGCCGCGGGCGTCGGGGCCGAAGGCCTCCCGTAATGAGACTCGAAAATACCAAAAACGCAAAAAAAGTAGACAGACAGAAAAGCACGCACATCGAGCGTATCGTCGTACCCAAAGATGAACTTGAGCTGGGTCGCAAAGTTGCAGCAGGTGCCGGCCATGAAGCCGAAGAGGACCGAGGCGGCTGGGAAGGAGAGTCAGTACGAGGCGGAGTGGACACGATGAGAATAAAGTGGGAATGAGAATGAGAATGAAAGATGCGCGGGACGAAGCGCGAGGGGAGATGTTTACGAGTCTGCCCTCGCGAATGCACGAACAAGTCCCAGAGACGAGCCCGCCACAACCCGCGACTCGAGACTCCACGGCCAACTGTGCGCGTATGGTGGAGCGCCAGCCATCACCCACCAACGCGAGGCGACGAGCCTTCGCACCGACACCACGACAAGCTCCCGTTTCGAGTCCCCGCCTCCGCCAAAGACAGCGAGCAGAGACACGCGGGCGCCAGCACCCAAGTCGACGATGCGGCACCAAAGGAATGGGGTGGAAGCGGGAGAGACAGAAAGCAACTCACGCGCCCCAACGAACCCGCTCGCGGGCGTGATCGCCACGAGGCCCGCGACCGCGCCGGAGCAGAAGCCGACGGCGGACCATTTGCGCTCGAGGCGCCAGTCCTGGGGAGGTAGGTCAGCGATGTGTCCAGGGCAACGAGGTAAGAGAAGGAGGAGGGGGATGGGTGGGGAGGAAGAGGCGGCAGCGGGGGGGAAAGAGAAAGAGGGAGGAGGTGTGGCAAGAGAAAGAGGGAGGAGGTGTGGCAAGAGAGAAGGCGGGGAGTGCAGGGGAAGGCATAGGGCGACACCAACACCGACACCGACGACGGCGACAGCGACAGCAGAACACAAAAGCAAGCGGGCGGGGTCCGCTCTTCGGTGCGCTACGCCCTTCCGACTTCCCTGCACCCCTATTGCATTGAGGGCCGCCCAAGCGCCGCCAAGCGAAGCACGCGAGATGGCGCGATCCTGTCGCGGCCCCACGTCTCCCGTCCTCTTCCCTCCATCTCTCTCTCTCTGTCCCTCTCCGCTCCCCACCCCGCGCCGCCGTCGCCCCCAACCAAACCAAACTCGCCCCATCCCGAGCCGCAGCCGCAAGCGGGGCTCGCAAAACTCGACATCACACCTCCTCCGCGTCTTTCGTCTCCCGTCTCCCATCCCTCATCTCTCTCGTATAGCCACACATCTCGACGCAAAAAAGCAAAGGGACGCCACGCACCCAGAACATCCACACGAGCCCGCCGACGCTGGCCGCGAGGTTGGTGATGATGCACGCGTTGGCGGCGCGGAGGTTGGCGGAGAGGGCGGAGCCGCCGTTGAAGCTGGGTGGGGAGGGCGGGTTAGCGGGTGCGTAGGAGGGAGGGGGGGTGAGTGGGAACGTAGAGAAGATGGGGGGTCGAGTGAGGAGGGGAAGGACGGCGCGGAGGGCAGGTGGGAGCGGGGGAGAGATATGAGGAGACACGGGGCGAGCCAGGTGGGAGTTGAAAAAGGAGCGGGGAGGCAGGGAGGATAGTTAGGAGGGAAGGGAGGGGATGCAGAGGAGAGGATGGAGGGAGGGCGGGGAGTGGTGGAGAGGACGGGTGGACGGCAGGGGAGGGAAGCAGGCGAGTGGCTGGGAGAGGGATTGAAGCGGTGGAGAACGAGAGGGTGCAGATGTGGGATGAGGCGGAAGAGGAGGAGGGCGGGCAAGCGACGCAGCGCGGGTCAAGGGGACAGTGTCGTCTCGAGATTCCGCAACGTGCCCCGGAGGCGAGCGGCGAGCTGGGCACTGTTGCGCAGCTCGACCTCGGCTCACCGCCTTGACCTGCCCCCCACAAAAACATGGTGCGATACACCGATACAAGGAATGCAAGCAGCGGTAGACGTAGGCGTAGGAAGACAAGACGCACCCGAACCACCCGAACCAGAGGAAGACCGTCCCGAGTACGACGTACGACGTGTTGTGCGGCTTGTATGCGAGTCTGTGCGGGTGCGTTAGTACGAATGCAGCGATAAAGGAATGATTATGGAACGGGGGAAAAGACAGGAAATTGAAGGCAATCCAACGACGCTTCCTCGTCTCGTCGCACGCGCACCCGCCTCTCCCCACCCCCCTCGTAGAATAAACGAAGAATCGCCACTCACCTCGCGCTCCCCCACCCGGTGCGCTTCCCGAGGTACACGCTGATCGCGAGCGCGGCCGAGCCGGAGGAGATGTGCACGGGCGAGCCGCCGGCAAAGTCGAGCCCGCCGAGGACGAAGGACCTGTCGTGGGTCAATCAGCTCAGCTCTTCTGATCCCAAAACAAAACAGCGGAGAGGGAGAGCGCGACGTACCACCCGTTGCTGTTCCACGTCTGCGAACAAATGAGTATGGGTTTTGAGAGATAGAAGCGGCTGGCACGCACCCAGCAGGCGATCGGGTCGTACACGAGCGTGCTCCACGCGAAGACGAAGAAGATGAGCGGCCAGAGGCGGCCGCGCTCCGCGACGGCGCCGATGGCGAGGATCGGGCTGCGTGGGTACGGGCGTTAGTCAGCGCGCACGAAATAACCGAGAACGGGTGGGGCACGCACGTAATAGCGGCGAACATGAGCTGGTAGACGCAGAAGACGATGCTGGGGATGCGCGTGGACCCGATGGAGGGCTGCTCGAGGACGCCGCGGAGGGCGAAGTACTGTGTGCGGGCGCGCGTTAGTCGTGGCTGTCTCAGTAGCGAATGTACAAATGAACGCGGCACGCACCTTCAAATTCCCAATATACGCGCTCCCAGTCTCGCTAAACGCCAAGCTGAACCCCCAGAAGAACCATTGGAAGGACACGACGGCGACGGTCATCATGCTCAGATATATCATGCTGAGCGCGTTCTATGAGCGCATTAGCCTTGTTTTCGTTTTCAGACTCTCTTCGAACGCACCTTGCGCCGCAGGAGGCCGGAGTAGAAGAAGCCGACGCCGGGGATCATGAGCCAGACGAGGGCGGTCGAGGTGAGGACCTGCGCGCGGGCGTCAGCGTCTGCTACATTGCAGACAGAAGGCCGCACGCACCCATGAAATATCGCCGAGATTGAACACGAACAGCTTGCCATCGGTCGGGTCGACCCAGTTGATGTCGCCCGAATCGTCGTACGTGATGTTGAGCGTGCGCGCCGCGAGCTGGTGCAGGTACGAGTTGGCGGTGTCGGCCATTGTGTAAAGCCCGAGTGGTAAGCTTTAGAGTGTAGACCCTTATCGAATGAACGAAGCAGCCTAGACTGCAGCCCACTCAGCCCCTCCTCGGCCTGCACAAAAGTCGATGAACTCACCTAACGTTCCTTCACTTCACTTGACGAACGACAAAGAGAAGAAGCAAGCAGCAAAGAAGAACCCACCGCCACTCGCATTTCGTAACTCTTATCTGTGTATCTCCCTCTCCAAACAATTCATTCCAAATCCCCGCCAAGCGGTATAACGGAATCGAAAGGCACGCAAGCTGATTGGACGATAAGTCCCAGAGCGGACTGATACGGCTGATTTGATTGATTGACAGGAGGAAAGCGCCTGCGCGCGAGTGGCGGGTGTCCGAACGTCCGATACCGTCGTATCTCGACCAAGTATTCTGGGCTCCTCAACAGCTCTACAGTACAGCGTCGGTGGCGCTCGAGGAGGGGCACACTCGATAGTTGATCGCCGCCGTCATCGTTGCCAACACTAGCGCCGACGTCCGCATCGGCAAGACGTCCGACATCTCCGATCCGCCGCGGGTTTCTCCGACATTGCCCAAACATTCAACCGCCGTCGACGTCTAGATTGGCCCAGGAACAATGGCATTGACATCGACAGCCACAGCAACAGCAGGCCGCCGACGCCCGACGGCCAGCTTACAGCTTGGCCAGCTCGACTCCACAGCAACAGTGGAGTTTCCGCGGCAATAAGCAGCCCACAGTCAATCCAATGGACCGGCCCGTTTCTTGGCGCCAGCGTTAACGTTACAGCAGCCCCACAAGCACCGCTTAAGACTCATTCATTCAGAGATTCAATAAAGACTAAGAGAGCTGGAGCTCCGCGGCGCCGTATGCCGTATCAGATTTGGGAATATTCTTCTTCAAGTGGTACTAAACACTGCTGTACCTGGGTCGCACGACCCCACGACCCCACACGCACACAGCCCCGCGGTTCCATTTCTCATGGCCATGGTACACTGTCCATCAATCAACCTTGACAGGCTTCTGGACTCCGCTATCTGTGATGAAGGATGAAGCACAAATCCGCTCGCTCGTTTAGCTTAGTGTAGCGACCGTGACAGTTGAGTCTCAGCCCTCCACCAGACTCCCGTGGAGCGATTCCCAGAAAAGAAAAAGAAAAAGAAAGAGCGTAACCAGGAAATATGGAACCCGGGGAGTCGAACCCCGGCCTGCTGCTGCAAGTTCTTATTAAGATATACCCCCCACCGAAAGCAGCCGTGCACCGTACACCAGATCCCATTTCCTCCCTCATTTCTGTACCTTAATAGCCACTCTACATTTTGGCCGAAGAATGAGAAGAAAAAAACAAGCTGGGACCCGGGGAGTCGAACCCCGACCTGCAATAAATATCATGATCTTAGCCAACTTACGGCCCACTGCCGTGCACCGTACACCAGATCCCAGTTCTTCGCATTGTTCCTACCTACTCTTTATCAAGTCTTTTTCGACTGCCAGCCGGCAGAACAAAAACTCTACAACTGTCCTGGCATGGGGACCCGGGGAATCGAACCCCGTCTCGCTGCTGCAATTCATTCCATTATTTTCAACATTGAACATTAAGAGCAGCTGTGCACCATACACCAGGTCCCAGTATACTGCTCAGTTCTGTACCTCACCACCTGCGATATATTTTGGCTGAGTCGAGAAAAACATTCAACAGGAAATGGAGGATAAAGGTAAGTATTGGGACCCGGGGAATCGAACCCCGTCTCGCTGCTGCGCCCGTTGCTGAGGTTCGATATCAAAGGCAGCTGTGCACCACACACCAGATCCCATCCTGTGCCTCGTTCGGTCCTGCACCAAACACTCTGTCTGTGTCTTTTTCTCCTTCTTTCATTCTTCTGCCGAAAATGTACACTCCATATGGCTGATTGGGATCCGGGGAGTCGAACCCCGTCTCGCTGCTGCACCCCCCGTTGCTGAGGCTCGATATCGAAGGCAGCTGTGCACCATACACCAGGTCCCATTTTCTTCCTCTGTTCTGTACCTCTCTGCATGGGATACAATACATTTTGGCTGAGTTGAACGAAAAAGAAAAAGAAAGTTTAGCGGGGATTGGGATCCGGGGAGTCGAACCCCGTCTTACTGCTGCACCTATTTATCAAATTTGATCGTAAATTTGATCGTGATATCGAAGGCAGCTGTGCACTGTACACTAGATCCCATTATCATCCTCAGTTCTGTATGCCACTGCAGTAGAGATTCGTCGGACAAATCAGATCGGATGCTTTCGGACAAGGAAGGTGGGAAGCCACGACATTCGGGATTCGGGAAACCCGTTCCTTGGCGTTCACAGGAACATGGGATACAATTCAGCAGAGTAGAAAGTAAAAAGATTGCAGAGGTATGAGTTGGGACCCAGGGAGTCGAACCCCGGCCTGTTCCAGAAATGTTGCATCCTCGTTGAAACAAAGGCAGCTGTGCACTGTACACCAGATCCCACTATCCTGCTCAGTTTGGTATCTTGTTAAATACTCTACGTACTTCTTGAAGTTGAGAAAAAAAGAAGTGAAGGAGTCAGTGGGAGCCAGGGAGTCGAACCCGACCTGCTGCTGCAGGTTCCAGAAACTTTCAAAGTGAGCAGCTGTACACCATACAGTGCATACCAGGTCCCATTATTCTTCTCTGCTCCTACCTTCCCTTTATTGTGCTTTTTCAACTCCTAGCTGGAAAAACAAAAGTCTATGACTGTCCGGTGATGGGAACCCGGGGAGGCGAACCTCGTCTCGCTGCTGCACCTTGATGCAAGGTCATTTGGAGCAGCTGTGCACCGTACACCAGATCCCACTTCCTGCCTCTGGTCTGTATCTTGCTACCTGGGATACATTTTGCAAATTTGGAGAAAAGATTTTTAAAAAGTGGTCAACAGGGGACAGAACACTGGGACCCAGGGAGTTGAACCCCATTTTGCTGCCCAAATTGTCTATCGAAAAGCAACAGAAAGCAGCTGTGCACTGTACACCAGGTCCTGTTTCCGTTCTCAGCTCTGCACCTCACTACATGAGATACATTTTGGCACAAAAAAGAGAGAAAAAACCTAGGGTTGGACGAGTTGGGACCCGGGGAATCAAATCCCGTCCTGCTGCAGATGTTGCAAAACCTCCGATGAGGAGCAGCTGTGCACCACACCCTAGATCTCAATTTGTTCTCCTGTTGTGTACCTTACTAGATACTCTACCTTTTGGAAGAATGAAAAAAAAAAAGATCAGCAGTGGAGCTGGATCGGGACGGGGAGTCGAACCCCAACCTACCGCTGCAACCGCTGTTCTTACTTGTAGTCCGTGTACTCTAGCTCAACAGCCGAGAACTCCCATGGAATGAACGAACATTCCCAAAAAAAGGACTAAACAAAAAACTCCGAAGATCACAGGGAACCGGGACACGGGGAATCGAACCCCATCTCGCTGCTGCACCCATTGATTAAATTCGATATCGAAGGCAGCTGTGCACCGTACACTAGGTCCCATTCTGTGCCTTGTTCGGTCCTGCACTAAACACTATTTTTTTTCTCATTCTTTCATTCTTCTGCCAAAAATGGAAACTCAACATGGCTGATTGGATCCGGGGAGTCGAACCTCGTCTTGCTGCATACACTGCAAACTTCTGGGGGATCAAAGGCAGCTGTGCACCATACACCAGATCCCATTTTCTTCCTCTGTTCTGTACCTCTCTGCATGGGATACATTCTGGCTGAGTTGAATGAAAAAGAGAGTTGAGCAGGATTTGGGATCCGGAGAGTCGAACCCCGATCAAAAGCAGCTGTGCACTGTACACCAGATCCCATGAACTCTTTCCTCTGCTTTGGACCTCACTACCTAGGGTACATTTTGCAAGCTCTGGGCAAAAAGATCAAAATGCACCACAAGACATGGAGTGGGACCCCTCCCGTTATCTTTGATGAATCATAAATCCTCGCACCTCAGCTCTGTTCTTAGTTTACTCTGTGTAGCTCGACGGCTGAAACCTCCCATTGAATAAACGAACATTCTCAAAAAAAAAGACTAAACAAAAACTCATCCCACAAGAAACAACCGGGACACAGGGAATCGAACCCCGTCTCGCTGCTGCACCTATTTATCAAATTTGATCGTGATATCAAAGGGAGCTGTGCACCGTACACCAGATCCCATTTTTTCCTCAGTTCTATACCTCACCTCATTGTGCTTTCCTGGCTGCCACCCTGGCAAAACAAAAGTCATAGACTATCCGGTGATGGGAACCCGGGGAATCAAACCTCGTCTCGCTGCAGAATCTTGCTGTTTCAGTTGAGTCAGAGCAGCTGTGCACCACACACCAGGTCCCATTTTCTTTCTCTGTTTCATACCTCTCTGCATGGGATTCATCTGACAGAGAATGGGGAAAAAAGATGGAAAGATTGATTGGGCCCCCATCTTGCTGCCGCAACTTGATGCAAGGTCATTTGGAGCAGCTGTGCACCATACACCAGATCCCATTATACTCTTCTGTTTTGTACCTCACTGCATAAAATACACTTTTGCAAGCTTTGGGCAAAAAGATAAAAATACGCCACAAGAAAGGGAGTGAGACCCCGGGGAATCAAACCGAGGCCTGTTACAGCCAATGGCAGTACCAAAGGCGTGAACGAAAAATTTCGGTTTTGGGGTAGTTTCAGAGAATTCCTGATATCTCAGTCATTTCTTCACCGATTCACATAAAAACTAGATAGATCGACTCGGCTAATTCATGCGCAATTAGTAATAGAGAGAGATTTGTGAAAATATTATGTATTAGGTAATTTCTGGTTTCAGGCTGTTTTCCCACCAAAATCTGTCTAGCATGCTGAGAATATGTCCCAGCAGCCTAATATTTTGGTATGGACAAACCCTATAGCTAGGAGAACATGTGATAGAGTCAGAAACGCGGATGCGTCACGTAAGGTTCCTCTATCTCCCTTGAATACATTTGCCAGTTTTGGCATTGAGAGATATTGTAAAGATTACATTTATCTAGGAATCTTATATATTTCTGGCTCTATTACGTGTTTTCTTAGCCATAGGTATTGTCCACACTAAAATATTAGGCCTCTGGGACATGTTCTCGGCATGCTAGACAGCTTTTGGTGTGAAAACAGCCTGAAACCAGAAATTACCTAATACATAATATTTTCACGAATCTCTCTCTATTAATAATTGCGCATGAATTAGCCGAGTAGATCTGTCTAGTTTTTATGTGAATCTGTGAAGAACTGACTGAGATATCGGGAATTCTCTGAAACTATCCCAAAACCGAAATTTTTCGTTCGTGCCTTTGGTACTACCATTGGCTGTAACAGGCCTCGGTTTGATTCCCCGGGGTCTCATTCCCTTTCTTGTGGCGTATTTTTATCTTTTTTCCCAAAGCTTGCAAAAGTGTATTTTATGCAGTGAGGTACAAAACAGAAGAGTATAATGGGATTGGCTGTAATGTAATATTCTTGTACAAGATATTGGATTGAAAGCAACTTGTGCGCCATACACCAGGTTCCTGTTTCCTGCTCATTTGTGTACTTCACTAAGTAATCCAATTTTGGCAGAGGAATGCAAAAAAAACAGAAGAAAAAGGAGGCATAGATTAGTTCAAATTGGGACCTGAGGAGTTGAACCCTGTCTCACTACTGGCAGAACTCGATGAAACACTTGAAGCAGCACAGAGAGCAGCTGCGCACCGTACACCAGACCCCACTTCTTTGCCTTGTTCCTACCTTCACTTCATTGTGCTTTTTTGACTACCAATCAAATCAAAAAAGAAATTCACAGAAAGGATGTGTTGGGACCCGGGGAGTCGAACCCTGGCCTGCTGCACACATATTACTTGGCACCAGTGTATGGGGAGCAGCTATACACCATACACCAGATCCCATTTTCTTCCTCTGTTCTGTATCTCTCTGCATGGGATACATTTTGGCTGAGTTGAATGAAAAAGAGAGTTGAGCCGGAATTGGGATCCGGGGAGTTAAACCCTGTCTTGCTGCATTTACTGCACACTTTTTGGCGATCAAAGGCAGCTCTGCATCATACACCAGATCCCATTTTCCTCCTGGTCAAAAAAAAGGAAACAAAAAAGTGTGATTCTAGGAATATTGGGACCCAAGGAGTCAAACCCCGTCTCGCTGCAGATATATAGGTTGGGTGTGATTTGACAATCAAGACAGCAGACCAGGGCTCATTTCCTTTGTTAGCTAAATCAGATACATCTGGCAAAGTTAAAAAAGAAAAAAAACATAGCGGACTCTAGCATTGGGACCCGGGAAGTCTAACCTGTCTCTCTGCTTGATCAAAATTTACAGTACATAGCCGCCATGTATGCACAACTTGTGTGTCATATGTTGCCAGTGACTGGTCACCAGGTGACGATGAGCTGGCAGTCAGGATCAATTGCCTATGGCCACACTGTGTCGCCACCTTCAGCTGGCAGCCAGCTGCCAGGAGCACCCTGTTTTGAATATTACAATTCATCTCTCAGGTTTTCAGGCATGCAAATGAGCAAATTTGTGTGAAATCAAGGCAAGATCTAAATGGTACATTCAGCTCTATACATCCAAGTACTTCAAACATCTACATGTCACCAGGCTAGCCCTGAGCAGACATCAA